GTCCACACTCCTTTCCAGTTGGTGGCGGTAATGCACACCTAAAGTTTTTTGCAAACCGCCAATAAACCCTAAATAGAAGAAGAAGAAGAGGTCCAGAGGGAACTACTATTATGAAAATGTGCATAGTTTGAGATGATTTGAACCTTCCTATTTTTTAATGATAGGGTTTTAATAATTCCAGTATTGTCTGATTTGGGTGCAGGGTCCTAAAGGCTACAGAGGAGAGCGAGGCATCAAAGGGGAGCTGGGTGAGTGGGTAAGAATCTTTCAAATTAAAACTAAAAGCTCTATGTTTTTTTAACTTAATTTTATTTAGTTTTTTCAAAAATAATACTATTTTAAATGCTCAAACCTTTTCCTCCTTTAGGGTTATTGGGGAGAAGTTGGAGCACAGGGAGAAAGAGGACGAAAAGGAGATAAGGTCAGATTAAACATCCAACACAATCATTTTAAAGCAGGACTGTTTTTATCATAATTATTTTATTTTTATTTAGTTATGTTGTGTGTCATGTTGTGAACAGGGAAACAAAGGAGTCCGAGGCTTCGATGGGGTCCCTGGCTACATAGTAAGAACAGAAGAATTTACGTGACTTCATTACAAAGTCCATTCTCAAACAAATACTAAATGACTGAACTATAAATGATGTGTAGGGACTGCCTGGAGTCAGGGGTCCCCGAGGTTTCCCAGGATCATCAGGACCTCTGGTTGGTGTCACAAAGCTCTTTATAGCCTGCATAAGGTAAAATTATATATCTTAATATGTCTTTTTTCCAGGGAGAGATTGGAGCGCCTGGCTTCGGTGGTCCACCAGGCCCCATTGTAAGTATAAACATCATTTGAATTCTTGCTCTGAGTTAGATTAGGTACTATGAGTTTTTGAAGCTTAATCAATAAATTTGTATGCTCTATTATCAGGGTAAAATGGGCCCCAAAGGGCTTAAAGGATTCCTAGGAGTTAAAGGCCCTCCAGTCAGTAAGATGTTACCATCAAGTATCAGTTTTCAGTGTTAAAAATGGACTTTTGTGAAAGAGCTGTTTCTGCTAACAGGGCCATCAAGGGGAAATGGGCTCTAGAGGAGCAGCTGGACCACAGGTAACTGCATTTATACGTCATTATCTGGGACAGAAACCAAATAATGTTAAGCTTGTGTTTACGGCGAGGGTTGTCCATCAGTATGAGATGGTGTTTGGTTTCAGGGAGAACCTGGTCCGGGTGGAGCAGTCGGTGTTCCTGGTGTCCGTGGCCCCCAGGTGCAAATTATTTTAAAATATTTAATATTTTTCAGAGATGATTCGTTTTTCTTCTGTGTGTTTTCCGGCAACTAACTCGTTCCACAATTTTTCTGCTATTTCAAGGATTCATGTATCAAAACGTTCGGCTCATTTATGTCACAGGTGCTTTGAAATTGGGTATTTCTGCAATTTAGACGTTTTCAGCTCTTTGGCTTTTTCTGACATTTTGTTTCTCGTTGAACATGAATGGAGTAATCTTGAACAACCTTAAAACCCCTGTGAAATATGACCTTTCCTGCACGTTTTATCTTTTATTCTGGTTCAGTTAAAAACAAAAAAACTTTGTGCTGATTTCAGCTGCTTTCAACATTTTTTTTTCCATTTATAGCACTTAAATTTTTTTCATTTAAACTTTTCTCATATTTTATCATCTTTTTTCTGATAATTTAATGTTTTTATGCTTGTTTAGCCAAATTCTGATCATTTCAGCTGTTTTCTGCCTTTTTAGCTGTCTTGTAGCTATTTTCAGTTAATTTTAGCATTTTTCATCTAAATTCACCTTTTGTAATTTCAGCATTTTACTGCTTAATCAGCAAACATGCTCTTACTGCGTCTTTGTTCTATTTTCAGCTTTTTAAAGCATTTTTGGCTAATTTAAGAAAATATGTTAAATATTATTTAGCTGTACATGGAATGGCTTTAGCTATAATAAAATTAATTGCACGTTTTTCATACTCCCTTTTCTTGTTTTTCTGCCTAAGCGATTTTTTTAAATTATTTTTTTTAACTCTCTGCTCACCCTATGTCTGCTAACTTCAACTTGTTTCTGCTCCTGTCTACTTTTGTTTTTCCTACCTTCAGCAAAAGTCAGCTGTTCATTAACAGCTTTGCTAATAAATATTTTCAGCTTCTTCAGCAGCTTTTAGGGAAAAAAAACCTTCGGCATTAGGCATTACACTGTATTTTCACAGGAAATACAAATTCTCTTAATTAAGTTTAGTTGCACAAATAGAACTTGCACTTGTTTAAGGTCCTGTGCACACCGAGTGTGATTTAGTGAACTAACATGTTTAATTTATATTTTATGACTGTAAATTGTTCTATTTATTCCCTCAAAGGGAAATCCTGGACCTAATGGGCCTCCAGGTCCGAAAGGTGATCCTGTGAGTATGTTTTAAAGAACAGACTGGAATAAAATGAAATGTGGATGTGAATAATCTATTTCTCCTTTTTTTGTTTCAGGGTGATCCAGGAGATGAGGGTGAAATTGGTGAACTTGGACCTCCAGGACTAAATGTAAGACAATCAGGTGAAAATATCTGCTGAGGTGATCTCTGTATGTCTTTGAAGTTTGACAGAATATTGTCTGATTTTGCTTCTTAGGGTGCCAATGGACAAACAGGAAAGCCAGGACCCTCAGGTGATCCTGTAAGATAACATAAGGTCGCTTCATTACTTAATCGTGCTCAGACTGATCAGATTTTTCTAACTTGTGCCAACGTTTAATAATTTTTGTTAAGTTCACTTCCTGTTAAACTGTGAAAGTCAGTATGTGTTGAGTTAAAAGTGCAGTTTTCTGTGTTTATAAACAGGGGCTTCAAGCCAGGCGAGGTGAGAAGGGAAGTCTGGGGTTTAAAGGAGATCTGGTAAGTCCAGTCCTTCAAATCTTTTTTTTTCTTCCCCATTTAGTTCATGATCAATTCATAGACCAGATCAGTAAATCAGTTTTGTGTTCAGGGACCTCCAGGGCCTCCAGGAAGACAAGGATTTAAAGGGCGTTCAGGCCCAATGGGTCTACATGGACTGGGAGGACCTACAGGGCCAATGGGACTTCCTGGATCTTTTGTGAGTAAAATAATCTTGTTGATTGAAAATGATTCCAGGGTGACCTTTAGTTTGAGTTTTACCTTCCTGTGTTGAAGGGGTCTGATGGTGTGATGGGGGAGCAGGGCAGGCAGGGAAGAGAAGGACACAAGGTGAAGGAGACAAAATAAGATACTTAAAGTAAAAACTAAATTTTAATGCACATGTTGGTTATTCTGCCTGTGTTTATGCTTTGACAAAGGGGAATCGAGGACCAGCTGGTGTTCAAGGAAGTCCTGGGTCTCGAGGTGACAAGGTAGAACAAAGATAGGGAAATATTGGCACCAATATGTATTTATTTGAATTTTTAATGGTCTTTATTTAATGTGACCTATCTTTAACACTGATTAGAAAATACAAATAAATCTTGAGCATCTTTTTTATTTACCCAAGTTAAGCTATGCAACAAACTCTGACTTAATTCCAACTCAGATGGAAATATTTAGTAAAAACAGTGAAATTGAAGTGTGAATAATACATCATTGTAATATATGACTATTGTTACATTTTAGGGTAGAAAAGGTCAAGTTGGATTTTCTGGACTTCCTGGTCCCATTGTGAGTTAAAACCTTTATTTTACATAAATATGCATTAATGTATTGAATCTATAAATGTGTTTTTTTTTTCCTGCCTGCAGGGAGAAATGGGGAAATCAGGAGAACGAGGACCTGAAGGAGAGCCTGGTATTAAGGTTCCTGTGTGTCTGCATTTTTCATGCTGTTCGTATGTGACTGCAAGATGAAGCTGTTCTCAAAAGTTTTTTTTATGGCGTTTGTGAATAAATGGGTTTTATTAAAGCTTTATTAAAAATGCTCCCCCTAAAGGGGGTTAAGTTGGTTTAAAATGAAGCAATTTCACTGCATTAGATAACAAATGTTAAAGAAAACACACCCCCTATCAGTTCTTCAGTAATAACTCATTGTGATCACTTGGCTTAGGATTAATTTAAAAAAAGATGACATATTAAATTGTTAAACCTCTGATAATTTCTTTATGTTTTGCCTTCAATTAGTCAAACCTTATAGTAACATTTTAAAGTGGTCTTCGTCTCATTAACCCCGATTTTTTTAAGTAGTTTTGCATATTGTCAGCTTTTGTCACTCGTTTTCTGTCCACTCCTTTTCTTCGCTTCAAAACAAAATAAAAAAAAAAGGCATCCAGACTTTTTAAACAACTTCCAAGAAGGTCTTGCTGCTGTTTGGTGTGAAACACACTGTTTTCTCTGAAATGATCCTAATTTGTGTCTGAGAATTTTCTGTTGTTTTTACCAACTAAATGTTTTGATATAATGAAAACCATTCAACAGGAAGCGTATTGGCTTTGTGTCTGATAATCATTGTTGTTTATATGGTTTAATATTTTAACTACAGCCAAACACCATTATTCTTTTCACTGCTATGTGAATGACTCACAGATTTATTTGCCTGTGAAGCAACTTTCACACTTCTTTTATTGATTGTATTGCTGACATGAAACAGTGGCTTCACCACAATGTTCTGTTTTTAAATTAGTGTACATTTTTTCATGATGATGATGATGCTCCCAGTGACTTTGGTATTTTGACCTCCAAGTTCAGACACATACTATCTCTGTGGTTAAGGCCAGTTACTGTACATCTCCTAACCAGCATTAAGGCTTGTTTTTATCATCCTGACCTGGAAAAGGCCATTTTTATCAGCTTTACTGCTGTAATCCTTTGTATGTAGGAATCTCCCAATCCCATCAGTTGTGTTTACCTACTCTGCAGCCCGTATCTTAACCAACACTCCCACATGTCAGCACATCTCCCCTGTTTTATTTACTCTCCATTGGCTTCCAGATCAATTTAAAGTTGCTTTGAAACTTGTATTATTTCCAGTTACTACCTAACTGATCTAGTAAGTTTTTGTGGGTATAAGAGAATTTTAAGATCAGTTGTTGCACCCAGACTTTGGAACCAGTTACCTGAAGACTGGCTTCTTCACCGATCTGGGTCTTTTTATGTCTAATTTTACAACCTTTTTATTCAGGCAGACCTTTAATACCTATAGGGGCTTTCTTGTATTCTTTATTTTTTTGTTGTTCGTTTTTAGCTTTAGTATTGAAGTACTTTGTGCACCTTTTGGCTTTTGAAAAAGACTGTATAAATCCTGATTGGGTTGATATCTGAATCTGAATTGATTGGTTAGAAAGATGGCATTCAAAAAGGAGAAAAAAATGCTGAACTGATTGAGAAAATGTTGCCCAGTGGAAACTGATTTGCTTTAACTTTACTTATTTCAGTTAATTTAACTTTAAGTTGTTTTTATTTTGAAAATGGCGTCCAAATCTTTAGCATTCATCCCATTTAGTAAACAAATTTTCAAACAATCAGGTGCTGCAGTGTTTAAACTAAGAGAAGCAAAGCTGTGTGGGTTTCTGTGTTGTTTACAGTGACAGTAATATTGCGGTGATCTGGTTTGTGTTTGTAAAGGGAATGAATGGCGCTCCAGGGGGACCAGGAACAAAAGGCATGAAGGTGAAATAAAATCCTACTTATGACATTTATTTGACATTAACATGCTTCCCTTTCACTTGGCACAGTTATAAATAACATCTGTAAATTATTTAATCTGCAAATGTGACCTTTCAACGTGCATATTTGTAATAAGCTTTCAACAAGAGGGAGACTGTTGCGCTGAATCAGGTCTATGCTTGAAAGAAACTCCCAAAGAAACAAAGTGTAGGACCATGAAATATTGCAATAGAAACTAAAATATGATTTATTTATATTAATGTTTTGGATGGTTTAGTGCCATGGTTCTCTAATTTGTCTTATTTTGACTCCAAGCTCCTACTAGGACCTAGGGAATTTAAAAACATTCATGGTTCTACTGAGAGAGATACAGCTTGCTATCTGAACCATCGGAACTGTTTGTCCAAGTTGTCCATGTAGTATAATTCCCACATTGTGAACCAGCCAGAAGGAGAAACCACCTGTCTGTGTCCTGCTCTAGGGTTTTCAAGGTCATTTAGGCAACCAAGGACAGAACGGCACTCACGGATCACAGGTAGGAATAAATACATTTTGATGGAGTTGCTGTTTGTTTGATAAAAGCTGTTTGTTTTTTAAGGCTGCTTTAAACTTTCAGTCTCACATCTTATTCCCCCTGCTGAGTGACAAAAAACTGCATATCCCCTGTCTGCTCTCTGCTGCTATCACGCGGTGACCACCGTCATGTACATTAGCCCCAGTCAAACTCTGCGGCGTGGACCTTGTGGCCCGGAGCGTGTGATTGGTTAGAACTTCAAGGGTGTGTTTGTTTCATGAGGAGCAATGCAGTGCCCACCACTGTTAACACACACACAAAATAATAAGTTTTTCCTCAGCAGACTCTTCACCCAACACAACACTGATCGCTGAGTGAAAAAAAAAATATATATATATATTTATATATGCCATTATTATTGTTGCTTATATACTTATGAGCTGTGGAGGGAGGAAGATAATTTATGGCCCACCATGTCTTCAGCCCGTTTATACTCGGTCAGGTAAAAAGACATCTGAATTGATGCAATCACAGATCCGCTGTATAATCCAAGATTTAGGGCAAGCCATTTTCTCATAAAGAATCTTCAAAGCAAGTATTCATAATTCAGTTCATCCACTTCAAATTAAACCATTCAACAATCAGGTATTTCACTTGGTATTCTCAGTGGCGCCTCTAGAAAAATGCAAGATCAAACCACTATTTAAAAAACCACAGAAAATGTATAAT